CATATCTTTTTAAAAATATAGAATACGAATAAACTCTTCATATACCCATATTGAGGATACATTGCTTCTACGGATTTGGTGATATTAAACATTTTTCTGTATAAAAATAATCTGTTCTCCTATTTGTAACAAATACGGGCCTGACAAAAGTTACGACAAGGATGCTGTGAAGGTACAGTTTCGCCGGAAACTTTGGGCAGCCACGATATTTCTTATTCTTGGTCAACCTTAACTATGAGAATGAAAACTGTTCCCTGCAAGAGGACAAGACAGATTGTCCCTCCACAAGTAAAAAAACTTTAAAGTGACAAACTTCAGATATTTGTCAGAGAATATATTCTTGCAAGAAATGTAGATTACATAGAATACCATTTATTATGAATTACACGAATATTTTGATTTAAAGTATGAGTGGAATAATACAAAATTTCAAATGTGAATCCATCTGTTGATCTGACAATTTAAGCTGAAGGCATACATGAGTCCCAGACATATTATCTGCAATTCTTCATGATAACTAATGAAAAATAACCCAAATTTCTCATTTGTTCAAATGTATTGCATAATAAATGGAATTTTTACACCGTAGCCTTGTCACAATTATGTCTTATTTGGAACTTAATATTTTAATTCAAAATAAGATTCATTCGAACACAGTCTTCTCAACGAGTTAGAAGCTTTTTGATCCCATGTTTAACGATTTTAAGATGGCTGGAACGAAGACCATTGAAAAGCGACATTTATTATGCAACAACCTAATATTATTCTACGCGTCGACTTCGGAGCCGACGTAAGTCTCAGGGTCTTAATTTTACACCCCGTATGATGGCTCAAGTGCCATTCCTCGAGCATTTTCCCCTCGAGCGTCCCCAACCCGATCCCTCTAATACCGACACGATGCGACGCAGCGCCAGGCCGCCGCTATAAAGATAACAAACGAGCCACGGCGGAAAAATAAAAATCCAACCGCCTCGATGAGCCCGGAGGACGTGCTCGACAAACGATCGCGACGTTTAAAACGGGCATAAGTATCCCGAGTTTCGGCTGGATTCGCGACCCTTTCATCCCCCGATGTTGGCACGATGTAACTCGTATCGTGTGACCGGAGGCTATTTTACGAGCACATGATCGTGTAAGTTGCCGTTGGAGCGTTTCGAATATCCTTCGTTCTTTAGGCGACTAGACATTATGTGTACATATTTTTGTTTAATTAATGATATTGCAGGTTTTATTCGAATATAATAAAACCATTGAATTATTGGGAAAGAAATTGTGAAATGTAGATAATTAGATAAGAGGGTCTTGTTTTAATAGAGTTAATGTATTCGAGTAAAAGGAAACAGTACGATGTTACTATCTGTTACTATGATTATTTAATGGTTTTAGTGGCATAAGTTATTAACAATGATAGAAATGAAATTATACTTATTGGTAGTCCGTTATAGTTAAGGCCTGCAACTTAATTCCTTTCAGAAAAATTCAATCTCTTTAATTACACGATAAAACGGTTACTTGATTTTCAATAGTTTTATTACTGCTAATTTCAATCATTTTCACTGAAGATGTAGTTAAAGAGATGTATATTTTATAACATAAAACATAATAGGATAGTCCTCTAAGGCCCAATGTGTGCTCTGTAGGGTTAAGAACACTCTAAACTCATGAACAGCAACACACGGGCCACATTGCTTATGTTCGGCATGTGTGGCACCAATCTAGCCTGAAACTTTTAGAGTAGCTGGCTTTCATGCTCCCTCTGTCAATCTCTAACTTTATGCATACTATAAACGTTAATTCCTTTTTTTACGCGCAGCATGCTCTCGGTGTATTCGTTATTTTTACCGAATTATTTCGGGCATGGTAAAGGTGCGTTGCAGCCTCGACGGCACTCGGAAAAGGTGAAAGATATTAAAAGTGGCCTCTGTGACGCTGTGGTCTGTAATGGAGTAGGCTCGAGATTAAATGCGGGAGCCTGAATGTATTTCCCTTTCCGTGGACGTTGTATGGACTCGTATGTAGATTTGTTGTTAAACATGAAGCTGGGCTCGTACAAGGAGACCAACAATAAAAATGGACAGAGAACGAGTAGCGAGAGATTTGAAGTTTTGATGGTCAATACAATAAGTAAACTTCAAATACCAATCCGTACAAATTAAAATCGGACAGAATTTTGAATTCTGTACTAGAGACCTTACTGCGTTAACAATAAGACATAAATAGTATTAAACTTCATTAGGAGCTTCATTTCATTGCGTTTTCCAAGTCTAAGGCGCTATAAATGATGATAGTAGCAGGAGTGAAATATAGGGTATTAACCCAATAGTAAATATGTGATGGATCTGTACAATAAATTCAAGGAATCTAATTCCTAGCACCTGCAGCATAAATTCACCTAAATTACCAAATATTTTTTTTCTTCCTCTTTCGTTAAAATATGAGAAATTAATCAAACATCCCCGGTTTAATGATGAGAAGCTTGTAACGAAGATCAATAGCAATCTTTTCAAGTTGCTATCGAAGAATATTACTTGTAGATATTTTTCTTAGCGAAACGGTCACTATCGGAACACCTATCGCCAGTACCTCGCCTCATGATCGATCACGAGAATTTTCAGCGTACTGAACATTGCAGCTCGACGAACTTCTAGATGATTGTGAAGTACTCTATCACCAACGAGGATCCGATCAATACCTTTCAAAAGATACTTTGTCCTCTTTCACGTTCGTTTAGTCGAGCGAAACAGTTTGACGGGGCACAGGCAGCGCACATTTGTCGATTGGAAGATTTAATCAAATGCATTCGCGGCACGTTTCGGTGACCGCTAGGGATTTAATGTCCGTCAGGCATGGAGGACAGATAACATTACGGTATTGTGGGTGCCTATATTTTACGTTTCAATGTTAAACGCGTCACAAAGCAATCGTTTTTGTGAAAGAATTGTTTAAAAGTGTTTTTAAATCACGTGGACAAATTTTAAAGGTGTTTGATTCTGCAGAGGTTTGAACGTTGATGTTACAACCTTTTGCAATGGATAGGACTTGAAGGTTTCCTTTTGGAAGGATTCGAGGTCCTTACTTTCTGTGATGAAATGAAGATAAGAAAGGTGGCATGATTTATATAGGATTATCGAAATCAAATTTGGAGCAACACTACTGAACAATTTCCACCTTCTCATTAATGAAGAAATGTTTTTATTGATTAATAATAGTTCAATTAAGAATTGAAACCTAGTCAAATCACAGAAAAATATAGTCAATAAATCTTCCTTATGCTTCAATAATTATAATTTATTTTTCTATCGTTCTTCACTTTTAGTTTCTATCATTATTGTTCTATCATTTATGTTCCAATTCACAAATTTGTGTTACACTCTATCTTAGTGCATGCACCGTTACTTGAATCAATGTTATACACAGTTCATAAGTATTAGGTCATCTGGTCGATAGAAGAAAATGTGACATTTCGCAAAAATTATACGTTCTAGGCCACTCTTATCACTTCATAGTAACACAAGCATTGTTCATTAAGTTGCAGTATCCTCTAAGCAATATCTCTTCCAGACTTTCAACAGTTTTGTAATACCTTGTAACATTTACTGTACATTCAATAACTACCCTAATACTTATAAGCAGAACTGTATAACTGCCAAGAATCACTGTTTCATTCCGTCAACGTACACCACCAACCAAAAGTATGGAACCAAGTCTGATAATTAAAGAGAGAGAAAAGTATTATTCTGCAAAGATTTGATAAAAGTAAGGTGTTAAAATTTATTGGAAATGATTTGTATATGTACTGATTCCATATCAGAATAATAAGTTACTGCTCCATCAATCATGTACTCTGGTCCCATACTTTTGACAGAGTGTGTATATCCAGATTGCACAACCATTAGCCTCTATACACCCCCACCCAATAACAACCGTGCGTTGAGAACCCCTGACCCCAAGACAAGACTGTAGACTCCGCAACTAAGCCAATATCAACGACCGTGTCCCCAGTCGCACGGAAAGAAAACAGACAGATAAGTCCTTCGATCAGCGTAAACTCGCCTCGAGAAACGAGTTCCATGAAGGCGGGGCTGATGATTAAAAAACGCGTTCACGAATATCTGAACGACAGCCCGTCGCCGGCCTGTCCGCCATCCCCTAACCTTCTAGGACACAGAAATTCGAGTTGGACAGTGCTTCCCGGTTTGCGCCCAAAAGTTTTCGAAGTCGCAGAGTCAAGAAACATAGACACACTACAATGGTGATTGGTAGAGAAAGGGTTGATTAACCCTCGTAGGGCGGTACCTGGATCCAATTGACCCAAATTTTTAACAGCTCCATATAACACGTCAACGTAGAAATCGAATTTAAGCTAGGAGTTGTTCGTATTGAATCATATAAAAAAGCAGATCTTCTTGAACAATTGCGGACAAAAGTACAAGAGGTGTTTCCAAAATTCTGGGAAATATGCTATAAATTGTTTACCTTATTAATTTTCGTTCATGATTACATGGTAATTTTTCAATATAATTTCCGTTTAACTGTGCGCACTTGTCTCAGCCCGAGACTTTGTTTTTTAGGCCATCTGAAGAAACTTTTCGGGAGTCTCTTCATTAAGTCCTTTACATCCTGAAATCCTCCACCACGTAGATGTTTTTTCAACGTCGACAACAATTGATAGTTTTCTGGATGTCTGATCAGGCGAATAAAATTGAAACTAATTTTTACGAAAATGTTTCTTTGAGAACTTAAAACTTCTTCCATAGTTGTAAAATTAATACTTAAAATCACATCTGTGTGGCCTTAAGTAGGTGGGAATCCAGTCAGGTCTTGTGTGTACTCAAAATCATTAGTCGTGACCTCTGCATTATTCAGCCAGATGGCATTTCTCAGAACTGTGGAAACAGTCCTCGTGTGTTCAAAACGTAGGGATCATGGGTGACCAAACGGACCCAGACACCGCTGCTATGTGGACATTAAAAAACGTCTGAAGACGTTAAGTTCGTTACCTGACATCGTTGCCCCGGCCCCTCCTGATCCCACGCGACGTATGTCGTGGCGGTGGACTGCACCTACAGTCACAGTGCATCACACACAGAGCTACGCTGGTCGCGAGTGTCACTACGAACGGGGCCGCGAAGAAGTGTATGATGGTGGTGACCTGAGCCTCGCGGTTATAGTTCGCCATCACTATGCTGCCGTTCAAGCGGCTGTAATGGCAGGGGAACCTGGCGCCCTCGTAGCCCAATTCGCGGGTGAAGTTGTCGCAGTCGACGATCGGCGGGTAACCGCAACCTTTGATGTTCACCAGGAGCACCGCTTCGACGTCGCCTGGCGTCGACACTGTACAAACGGGAGTTACCAATCAGCTTTCATTGTGGGGTTGTTTTTCTTTTTTTTTTTGCTATGAATGTCACTTGATTGGGTTCATTTAGCACTAGAACTGCCGACGAGAAATGTACGTGTATGTACAGTGAATCGTCGATGAGTATTCGAGGACTCCTCGGCACTGAACATGAAATATTTCATAAACTAATAGACATATGCGGCTGAAACAAATATCATTGGCTTCGGAATACCAAGCTCTACCATTGTGCTGAATTTAATTAAACAACTAGTTACACCTGGGTACCTCTGCTTGTCAGTGTCGAGAAGCCTTCGAACACTCATCGAGAATTTACTGTACTGGATTAGCCAAAAAGTAATCTCGCATTTCTTTTTTTTATTTAGTTCATATGAACTTTTATAAAAAAAGTGATACTAGGTGTTCCGTAATTAAGCGTTCAAAGTGATCCCTTCGATTAGTTTTCGAAGAACCAAAAATCTTAGGGGTGCGAAATTTGTGCTCCTCAACCTACCAGACGAATCATCAAACGCAATTTTCTCAATGGATAAAATCATCCACAAACAAACTTCACTCCATCCCTTAATTTTGTTTTCACCTATAGAACGTCTTGATCACGCCACGATAAACGGAACACCCTGTACAATACCGACAATTCACCACGCACCGATCAAACAGAAGCCCAAACTCGAAGTAGCAATCCTTACCGGTAGTCGTCGATGTGTGCGCGACGCCGGTAGTGCTCGAGTTCCCTCTACCGCCAGTGTCGTTCTTCATGCTGTCGTTGCTCCATGGTGTGTACGTGACGTAAATATGCGTACACCTGTAAACGTCGCTGGTGCACCCCTCCCGGCACGAGCTCCACGTGCAATTGAACAGACCATAAAGCTCCTCCCGTCTGGATGTGGTGCAGATGACCGGCTCCGGCGAAAAATCGGCGGCCAAGGTGCTGATCGCTGGATCCACGTATAGGGGCACCAGGAACAGAAGAGCCGCCCCGCCAGAAGTCGCGACGAAGGCTAACGCCGAGGTCGCGTAAAAGTTGAACCGCTGACGGCAGGTACGCCGTGGCGGTCGGCGCCGCGAAGCGCCGAACCCGAGCTCCAACAGCTTGCGACGACGTAGCTCTCGCTCCTTTAAGTCGTGCTTCTCGGTCAGCTGATGCTCTGGCTGATGATGCCGGCTGTGCTGGCTGTGATGATCGCTCTGACACTGGACGCAGCTCGCCTCCAGCAGGAGCTCGGAGCTGCTCCCGCGCATCACCCAAAAACCCGCTCCTCAGATAGTGGGTGCCAAGCGGAGCTTCTTCGGCGTTTCGGGGCGAACGATCGAGGGTGCTCGAGGATCCTTATCACCGCTAGGACACATCGAGTGCTGGCGGGGGCCGCTTTTGTCTGTGTGTGCCCGTTTCGGGGTCAGAGGCTGGATCGACAGCTAGGTCGAGCGCCTTGGTCCGTGTTGCACGGGACAGGGGTAGCTATCTGAACCGTTCGATTGGCTCTTTGCTTAGAGGGTCTCATTTAGTGAACACGTTGTTCGTACGGCGATACTGAATCTTGATATGCCGTGCATCGACTGGACTGGTAGCTAGAATAATATGGGGATGATTTACAAGGATCTTTCTGTGGCGTTTATTGACTGAATCCTTTTCACAGCTTTGGTATATACTCAATGATCCCGCTGATCTATGATTTTCGTTGATAATATTAGTCCGACGTTGCTGTGAACTTTTAGAATGAGCTCGAAAGACACGATCATCCGTTATCGTTGCTCCGTCAGACACGATCGCGTCGCCATGATCACATGGGAACCCTGCGAGAACTCGAGATAGGCAACGCGTACGGCGTGCCACATTTCGTTAGTGCCAGTACGTTCCCGTTTCCTCGGGTGTCCTTGACACGGCATCGCGCGGATCAGCGGATCCCCCGCTATCGCGTCATCTAGACTGTCCTGAAGAGGGTTCTCTGTCTTTCCGTCGAGACGTTACTGTCGTTCTCTTCTCGGGCAAATAGGTCGGGCTAGGCCTGACGAAGTTCAGTCCCGCGGAAGAAACCGGAACGCGCGATTCGCCCGGGAACTCGTTTGGCTCGAACTCGTTGCACTTTAGACCGTCTCCGTTTTATCGCTATGCATAATGACCTTGCACGTTTAAAGTTCTTTTAGGCCATCGAAGTAAGCCGATCGATCACGACCTTTTAGCTGTAGTCACGCTGCCGGGCGTAAAACATCCTCCGCCGTTGTGCTCGTCGGCTCGAACTCTCTGATCCGCGCGAAAAAGTTTCAAGGATGTTATCTTCGCGCTAAGCACACCGTCAGTATCGCCGCTTGATAACTATCACTGAACCCCACCGCGATATCGACGACACACCGAGAATCAAACGGACCTTCTGTTAGGCCTGTTAGACACATTCGTCGCTATAAAACACAGGAAATCGAACGATTTCGATAACTTCCTCGAGAACACAGCGTATTAACTGAACATTAACGAATCCCTGGCAAACAACACGTTTCCCACCATTACACCGTTTCTCAGCGATTTATTCGACAAATTGGCCCAGTAGTCATCGACGTGAGATCCTTCTGACTAACGAGGTCGATGATCGATCCGACAACCGTTGCCATTAGCGCTTATAATCAACAGGAGGCGCGTCCAGAACGGGTACGAAGGATAACGCCGCTCCTGTCACGCGTCAAAAATCGATCCAAGCTTCTTCCTTCCCGTCGCGAAAGGATACGCTGCCTTCTCCACCTCGATACCGTTACCGTAATCTACGGAAACCCAATCGCCAATCACACGACCTGAACCAATCGCCTCCACCTACAGCTTCCCAGACCCTTGTCTCTTCGATCTCCAGATAAGTTCTCCGGTGATTGGTCGTGTAGATTAATACAAACGATCCCGATTCTCTCCTTCAAGCGCCGAGTAAAAGTATACACTCTCTTTCCACGAACAACTACATCCGCAACTGGTTGCCTCTGCCCACTATTCCCACCCTCTTGCGATATCCTCCTCGATCACAACGTTCATGTTTACCCCGAAGATCATCCGTGGATCGATGAATCCCTCGATCCCCTAACACCGTCCACCGTAATCACAACCCTGTGTAATCCTCCCACGATGAACAAGTTGTCTACAGGAGCACAGAACGCGAAGGAACAGAACTCTCCCTCTCTCTCCCCCACCCGCGTGAAAAACACCTGACACCTGCCACCTGTGTGCCCCCCTTCGAGAGGACCCAAAACCACAAACCCCCCCGGATCACGGTGTCCGTGCCGCCGCGCCGCCCCCCGCCACAGGTCTCCAGCACAAAGTGTGCAGGAGCTACTACTGGCGAGCCCTTGCTCTAGTTACATCGGATACCACCTGCACCTGCGACTCGCGTCCCGGTAGCATCCGCCTCGCGGATCGCGAGTTAAAGCGTGACTACTCGTCGAGCCTCGACGGAAAGTCCTCGACGGGACCAAGCTTTCCGTCCGAGGCGACAGGGCGGGGTTCCAGACGCGCATGAGCGTGCGTCCATCCCCCTGTTCCCCCCCCCCCCCCCCCCCCCCCTGTCGTCGAACTATCCCCCTCGCCCCTCCCACGTTGCATTCTCCTTGTTTACGCTCCTGCCTGTTCCCCTTTTTGCTCCTCTTCGTGCGGCCGCGCGTCCTCCTCCAGCCATTATCATCCTTTAATTGCGACCCATAATTAAGCCAATTTTTCGTTGGTCGCCTTTTCTGCCCGGACGTTCCGCGACTTCGTTACGGGAAATGAGCAAGCGGGTCGAAATTGTTTTGATGCTTTTGATTCGTTTTCGGTGGGAGCTAGAATTCGGTTTGGCAGGTTTTGATACGAGCGAAGGAGGATTAAAGTATGGAGGGTTTAAGTGTGACAGGTGATTTTTATTATTTTTTTTAGTGGGTTGGAGGATACCTACTGTGGAACGGATATATGGTTTTTGGTGTAATGGAAGGAGGTATAATTGTATGTAAAAGAGTAAATCGGAAGTGGGAATTGAGAATGGGATCGTATGAGGCTTTGTTTTCGTGGGAATTGAATTTGAGGATTCTTTGAACAGGAGTGCAAGTGGACACGTGTTCACGGCTTTGTTAGTATATTATGGATTAATTATACTTCTATTAATGATTTCAACATTGACAGTAATTGTATTAGTAACTGGTGGAGAAATTATCGAGCATTTAATGTTTTCTTCTTTTTTCATGAACCCCACATTTTTGTGAATATCTTCCGTCCTCTCTTATATTGAAACTCGAAAATAGAAGTACAAAATTTTTGAAACTGGCACGTCCGACCATGGAGCACGCTGCTTTGAAACTGTAATCGCGTTTTTCTGCGAACCATGTTTTCTGACCCACTTCATTGTATCTCGTCGCCATATTGTCAAAGGACCCACAAGTTTTACACTATTATAAAATAATATATATTGTGCATGGTACCGCGAATCACTTTTTGTAGTAATTAAACTTTTTTATGTACAAAAGCCACCAAGCTTTCAGTAAAGCTTGGAAAACTTTTTCCCAAAATTACTTTAAAAGTCGAAATTGCAATCTTTTTCGAATCCTGTTTACAGCATCGTAACAACGAGGCTCCAGTTCGGATATCTGGATATGTTTTTATTTAAATAAGTCATGTCGAAAACGGCTTGACTTGCGTATTTGAAGAGCTTTCGCTCAATTTCAGACTTTTTGAATGAAATGATATGTTTCAAAATATATTTAAAACATTCATCCGTAAACAACTTCCCATTCATCCGTACCTCATTTTTTTATTTATTCATTATTAGTCACTAGTCATATCATTTAGCTGTTTTTATATCGTCTTTATAGAAGAATATTGTTTTACACATTTTAGTGATTAGGTTATTCAGATAATTATCTTATCTGACTACACATATTAAGAAAACCTTCTATTTCTACCTCTACTGATATAATTACCACGTTTTGTCGATTATTAATGTACCACAGAGCTTCAACTACTGAGTGAATTACTACACATTATTCGATTTCTGTAATATAAATTAATAATATACTTAATTAATCATGCAGTGCAATCATCTAGTGTTAACATAGCGTCGTTTAATACATGAAATTAAATACCGTACAAATATTAAATAAAAAGTAACATTTTCTACAATTCATGTTTGCATAAATTGATCTAGGAAAAAAGTGACTTGCAAAAATATTCGCTGTCTAGTCGTTACAATAAAAAACAGAAATTTCATTGTCATTCGTCATAGTTTTTTCCAGAGAAAATCTAAAAACACTGGCTACAATTTCTTGAGTCTCACACTGACTCGACTTCTTAGGAATGACTATTACATCGCCTGAGTGATTCTTTCGTTTTTCGTGTCAGAGAAAGAAAGAGAGAGAAAGATAGAGAGAGAACAGCCAGGAACTTGTATAAATCGACTTGGCTCGGAAATTGGATTCACGTTTTTCCTCCCTGGTGTTTTTTGGACACGGAGAACTTGAAAGTCGAGAGGGAAATCAGATTAAGGGATTTCAGCGTAGCTGTTGCATTCTTTAATTCGACCATCGCTGGTAAGAATTGTGTTACACAGTTTCTTCGCTGGATCGCAATAGCTGCTCTCTCCACCGTGCGACATTTAGTAAGACAGAGAAATTTATGTCACTAGTAGCGTGTACAGGGTGTCTCGTAAAAGATTGTGAAAAATTATTGCCTTCGCAGAGTTCTTAAAAACGTCACCGTATTCCCTTCTTTTATAGAAAATAAAAAGATCGAAGACTTGTAACTAAATATTATGCAACATTCAAAACATGCAATTTCATTTCCTTTTCCATTTTAAAATACAAAAATAAATTGTACAATAAAAATTACATTCAAATCAATTCAAAAATTGTATTCACACATCAGAATGGGCGAACATCATGTGGTAAAGATCATATAGCCATTGATTATAGAATTAGTAACACAAAATCAAAACATTTAACATTTTTCATTATGAACAATTCAAGTGTGATAAAATACAAGAAATAGGAAAACACCACAATTCGTTGGACTTTGATCATTCTTCTATTCAAGAATTGTGACACTGATCGTTCTACACTGAACCCAGGATTCGTTGGTCGTTAATTTCTCTAGCCTGTGCAGGTCCCCTAAACAGTAGTTTTACCTTCATTGTAATGGCACCGACAGCTCTTTGTGAATATCTCGGAAACTAGGCCCGACCGACATATTCGTGAAAGAACAAAGTTGTTGAGAATGTTGATTTCTACAACATATTCAAAAATAATCG